GAATTTAACTACACTCAAAAAATTACTTTTACTGCTCGTTTAAACTACATTTAACATGAGAGGAAACAACCCAATCCTTATGTTTTTGGGAGGACAATTCAATTGATTTACGTTTAATCCACTTAAATTTGTAAAAACTATTAAGTTAACTTAGTTTGTTTTGGGACAACATAAATTAACTTTTTAGAGTATTACACTTTGTTTAATTTTGTTGAGCCAAATAATTTTATGGCCCGTTTCCACTGTCAAAAGATATCAAAAAGCGAACTGTGCGTACCACTTTTCCACTTGATGAGCAGCCACAAAGCCAAGAAGAACAAAATCTGTCGTGTTCTGTTGTTCTTTTATGAGCCCGTCTAAAAGTGCAAGCGGTTTCTCTTGCTCCAAAAAGCTCGTGATCGTTCGTGTGGTCATCTATATTCGAAATAACGAACTTCTTAAGCTGATGATACGAACGTGCGCGTGATTATTGAAGCGCTTCTGACACCCGATTCTTTCAGAAATGGTCAAATGCCAGAGTGAAACATGAAAAACAAAGGAAGCCGGAAAAAACAAAGGAGCAAATAATTCTTTCAGCAACCTAAAACATGAACAAACTACCAAGTTTAACTATTATCATCACCTTTTGGGCTATTATGAACTCTAGATTACTTTTTAACAATATGTTAACATTAAATATGTGCTGGTGAAAATCAAAAATACAGATGAGGTTTTCACTGGCTGTATGTTTAGTATTGTTTTTGAAGCCAAATAAGGCTTAAATGTACGCTGTGTGTAGTTTTTTCTGATAACATTTCAGAGACTGTATGTGTTGATATATGTTGCTTTAAATTATTGATTTTGTGTAATTGCAGATGTTACAGTAGGCTATTTCACACTATCATTGATCTGAATTGACCATTGGTACTCTTTTAGTAGTGGAGGCACAAGCTTGATAAAGGTGACCCCTACCGTACCATACTGTACCACTCAGTGGAAACGAGGCATAAATCACTTTATCTGAGACGAGAACTACTGAAGAAATAGTTTTGATCATTAAAAACAAAACAAAAATCCTAAATGTGTTTATATTTTAGTCTAACATGACTTTATTAAAAATTACAAAATGCTAAAGGGTTTTGAGTATTTCTACCTTGAATGGCTTTAATGATCAAATTGGCCACATGTGTTTCAGCTAGGCATGGGACGATAACTTTCGAGATATATAGAGGTTTGGAAAAGTCACAGTTTCTAAACTGCCAAAATGGTATACATGTGGTATATGTAACATTTTTACTTTACTTTTTTTTTGTTTTTGTTTTTTTCGATACCTTTAGTTTTTAGGACAACAGTATCTCCAGCTGAAAAGATATTTAAAAATATATGTGCATGTGTTGCCTAGCAACTTTCTGCTTACAAAAACAACTTTCTCACACCAAAACACACCTTTACTTGGGAAATGTTTTTCTAACCTTCAAAAACAATTTTTCTGTTTTACTCTGGTAGAAAAACTTCACTTTCTTACAAGGCACCTTTGTGGACGTTCTAGTCACTTAAAATCATACATAATTGTACACAATTAAAGATTATATTACCAAAAAAGTTTTATATTTTAAGGTGATCACCTAATAAAATGTGATGACGCGCATTCAAAGCTTAATTCTAAAGAATCTATAGAAGCTTCAGATATAAAAATGATGTAACAAATTCAATTTGATGCAGTTATAAATGATTGGATTGACCTCTGTGGTCATTCTAATAGTTGATAATAATGTTTCTATAATTGTAATAATTATAAAATAATATTGCCTGTTGTTAATTATTGTATATTGTTGTTATCCTGTTTTTAAATGTAACATTTTAAATTGGGCAAAATAAAATGAGACTGGGCGGCACGGTGATGAGCACTGCCGCCTCACAGAAAAAAGGTTGCTGGTTTGAGTCTCGGCTGGGCCAGTTCACATTGTGTTCGCATGGGTTTACGACGGGTGCTCTAATATCCCCCATAGTCCAAAGACATGTGCTATAGGTAAATTGGCCGTTATTTGTAAATGTGAGAGTGTATGGGTGTCTCCAAATACTGGGTTGCACCTGGAAGGGCATCTGCTGTGTAAAACATATGCCGGAATAGTTGGCGGTTCATCCGCTGTGGCGACCCCTGATAAATAAGGAACTAAGCTGAAGGAAAATTAATAAATGAATGAATGAATAAAAATGAGACTGACTGACATTAGCAGAGTTATTGCTCATTAAATAAAGCACCAATCATCATTGCTGTTAATAAAGCTGCCGGCATCTTCAGCATGAGTGCTACTCTTATGCACAGTGGTAAACCAAAACTTTTTCAAATCTCCAAAATAAGTGTCCTCTTTAAATAAAACCATGATTACACCTATACCTATTTCCCTCCTGTTGATATACAATCCCACACAGAGCATGCTGAAAGCCTTACATAAAATACCCAATTAGTCATGTCAACAACAATTTAATTGATGTTATTTCGTTTAACGTTAACAAATGAACATAATGCAATTAAACTGTCAAAATAAGTTTTTTCACCATTTTAAGCAAGTAATTTGTAAAAGCAGCAAGTATATATGAATGTGCCATTATTACAACATACACCAAGAGGACCAAAATCATTTACAGCATGAAGTCATACATTAGCTGTATGTGGAGAACAGTCAGCAATTCTGGGCTCTGTCCTCGGATGCAAAGCTTTCAAATCTCATGTACGCTTACACATTCAAAAGTGTAACCCTTCTTGACAGACTGACAGCTTAGCGAGCGTGCTTTAACTCACAGCTCGCTTGATCCTTGAAGAAAAGAGTTTAACTTGCTTACTCTGGTGGGAATCAGAAAGAAATGTACGCTTGTTCATGCCAAGAATGATAACGGTAACCAAAACTTTTTCATAATAACATTTGATTAGTTAATGTGTTTACTAACATGAACTAATTATGAACAATACTTGTAGAGTGTTTAATAATCATAGGTCAACATTACCTATTGCATTATTAACATACAAATTCAGCTTTAGTTAAGGCACTGTGAGTTAACATGAACAAAAAACAATTGCATTTTCATTAACTAACATGAACAAATACTGGAATAAATATATTGTTCATTGTTTGGTATTTTAGTAAACATTAGGTAAATAACATTAACTAATGCAACCTTATTGTAAAGGGTTAAACAAAAACTATAACAGCATTCACACCAAGCTACAAAAACATTGACTATTAACCCTTTCACGCATACGATCATGCCAGTGTAATCAGCTTTGGCTGGTCCCTGAACCGTACGATCACACTGGTGTGATTAGAAAGTTCACAGCACATTATCAACTGATAGAACTTAAATCTGACAGCATGCGCTGAGGCACAGAAAGAGGTGTGCAGTGCCTGTCATAAATCACAATGTATCTGTGCTTTCAAGCAAATAACATTTATTTTCGGTTTCTATGTTTCGAATAAACATAACTACAAGCAAAACAAACCATTTAAGGTTTGTAAAATACACTCGGATGTCTATGGAGACAGCAATAATAATTATTCAATATAACTGGACGATGTGCTTTATTCACATAAGATACACACTGTTTATGTTACCAGAATATTTTCTCTATTCCTCTCCCAGATATACATAGATCATTGGGGCTGGTGGGTCATGTGATAAACTTGATGCGTCGCTATGGGAACTTTAGAACGCAATGGATTGGCAAGTCATTTCACTTGGTGACTATGTTTGAAATGCCTCTCGGGCAGTATGCTTCTGAATGGGGAAACATCTAATTCTCCAAAACTGTTTGACAAGTTTATGATTACCTTGCAAATTTGGAATCACCAATAAAATGAAATAACTTTTCTCATAAGTTTTGTTTCTAAATGTTCAAATCAAACAAAGTTGGCATATTTTCAGGTTGACTTAATGCGCATGCAGACTCGAAAGGAATGAGATCACGACACAAACCTCATTTATGGCCATGTTACACATTATCATCCACTGTATAATGATCGTCTGATCGAGCTGCTCTTCTGAAGTAATCCACTACTTATTCTTGATGGTAAATCTTTTCCAGAAATGACAGCGACTCTTTGTTTACAAGTCTGTGGGCGTTTGAGTAATTTCTGTCATATGATGTGTGACTGTACCTCGCGTTCGTTTCATACAGATTACAAAACCAAAAAACTTTTGTTTTTAAGTGCACTTGGTTCATTTAAAAGCACAGATTTGTCCATGTGTCAACTGTCCATGTGAAGCAAGTATTTGCTGAGATTCCAATGCCCTTGTTGACAGCCAAACTGTTGTAAAAGGGCACATCTGGTCTGAGCTTTTCGGCCAGAGAAACTTCAGTCTATAACGATCAATGATTGGGTCCTTTATAAGTAGGCGAGCATTGATTTGCCATATTGACCGTTACACTTTTCCCTATTCAAAACTATACGAGTGACACATCTTGTTTATTCTAGTCTTTGAAGAGGGTCAGCTGGAGTAAACTGACACATGAAAGGGTTAATGGGATGTGCTAAAGTTTTCTCATTTGATGTTTCAAATTCACTTTAAAATCAGGTCAATTTTGTTTAATTGTCAAAATCATTGATTCAGTTGATGTCATTCATCTCTTCTCTTTATTTATTTAATTTTATTGGCATAAATTGTTCTAAAAGTGAGCCTTTAACATCATTCATCGTGTAACAACTGTCCACAATTTGTTTGTTTGTTTTTGTTATTTACATTGGTAAATGATTCTTGAGGATTATTAACATGTTCTTCACACAAAATTCTGTTATTTTAAGAACTGTTTAAAATTCTCTCGGATTTAATTTTAAAATTTGTTCTTTTGTGTTTTAAATAATTAAAACAGAAGTCGTATAACTTTAGATTAATCAGCAGAGCCACTTGTTTTCTGCAGAGTCACAGAAATTCGACTTTTCCCTCCTTTCACATGATGAAGTTTAATGCAGTACGTCACATTGTGAATTGAGCCCAACTGAGATGAAGTGTTTGTGTTCTTCCAGAGGCCTTCACGGAGAAGCACAGCCCCCAGACTGCCCACAATCTGCTGCAGGAGGAGGTCACGCGTGCCGAAGAACAGTCTGAGGTGATTTCAAAACCCCTTGCATCCTTTATATCTCCAAAAACGCTTTCTGTGTCCTTTCATTTGGGTCCCCGACCACCATGTATCAAAAGACAGCAAATGCGCAGTCATATTTTGACATGTTGTTTTCAGCCGTATTCCCAGGACCGTGGCTTATTCAGACACTTTGTTGAATGAACATGCCCTGCCAACTGAACCAGAACCAAACACAACGAAAGGCTGACAAAAGTGCAGAAAGTCACTACGATACATGACACTATCCTTACTTACAGAACCGGATGATCTGGATTTTAGGGTGACACGAAGGTTAAGATCCATGCTAAAAATCCAGCAAGCGTAGATCTGTGGTTTAATCAATGATTTAAAGCATTGACAGCCGACTGTATGTGTCATAAATTAGAGATGAGGTGAACACATCAGAGCTGATGTCATGTCTCCAGCACTGCGGTTTGTCCCAGAAGTGGAAAACATTTCATTAAGTGCCTTTCACCTCACATGCTGTTCAGCTGTCTTTCTTAATGTGTATTAAACTGATGTAGAGTTTTTCAAGATTACTCATATCTTTTTTGGTGTAATCTATTCATAAACATTGACATATGAAAAAACAGCACCTCAGTGCGACCTCATCGGGGTGCTGTGGAAGGGGTTAAACTAGCAAATGGGACTAGGCTTCTGCCGGTGTCAGGTTTTCTTGTTGCAATTAATTGCTCAAACTTTTATCACAGTCTAAGATATTATCATTATATTGAGCTAAACTGCTAGAAAGGGTTACAAATATTTTATTGTATGTACAGTTGAAGAAATGATTAGCCCGCTTGTGTATGTGTATTTTGTTTTCCAAATATCTGCACATTTCTGAACATAATGGGTTCAGTTACTAATTTATAATAACTGATATATTTTATCTTTTTCATGATGCCAGTATTGTGCATGTACACTCTTATGGTGTATTGAATTATTAGCGATTCAACAGTTTTATTGATTCTAAAGCAAAATACAGAATCAAATACAGAATCAAATGTTTACTCCAAGTCCAAACCAGTTTTCAACTAAAGAATTGCGGTCAAAACTTTACTTTAATTAAAAACAATTAAAACCTTTGATCATACAAAAGTCAAACTGAGTGGGAAAACAACTACACTTAAATAAATGAGGTCGATAAATAAAATCAGTCCTTATAAATCCATCAAATTTACACAGTCATTATATTTCTCACTCATTGTAATCTTTGACCCATATCCAAATAGTGCTTGGACCAGATTATTTTTATAGTATAAGCATACTTTGTCCATCTGCTTGTGTGATGTTTTTTTTTTTTTTTTAAAGCAGTCATATCTTGAATTATTCAATATTGGCATACACTCGCCGGCCACTTTATTAGGTACAGCTTACCTTGTACCACATTGGACCTCCTTTTGTCTTCAAGACTGCTTTAATCCTTTGTGGTGTAGATTCAACAAGGTGCTGGAAATATTCCTCAGAGATTTGGGTCTAAACTGACATGATAGCATCACGCAGGTGCTGCAGATTTGTCGGCTGCACATCCATGATGCAAATCTCCCGTTCCACCACAACCCAAAGATGCTCAATTGGATTGAGATCTGGTGACTGTTGAGGCCATTTAAGTACAGTGTACTCATTGTCATGTTCAAGAATCCAGTCTGAGATGATTTAACTTTATGACATATCCCCCACACCATTACACCACCACCACAACCCTGAACCGTTGATACAAGGCAGGATGGGTCCATGCTTTTATGTTGTTGACTCCAAATTCTGACCCTACCATCCAAATGTCGCAGCAGAAATCAAGACTCATCAAACCTGGCGATGTTTTTCCAATTTTCTGCTGTCCAATTTTGGTGTGCCTGTGCAAATTGTGGCCTCAGTTGACTCTTCTTAGCTGACAGGAGTGGCACTCGGTGTGCTCTTCTGCTGCTGTAGCCCATCTGCCTCAAGGCTGGACGTGTTCTGCGTTCAGAGATGCTCTTTTGCATACCTCGGCATCAACAAGGCATTTGCGCCCACAGAACTGCCACTCACTGGATATTTTCTCTTTTTTGGACTATCTCTTTAAACCCTAGAGATGGTTGTGTGTGAAAATCCCAGAAGATCAGCAGTTTCTGAAATACTCAGACCAGCCCGTCTGGCACCAACAACCATGCCATGTTCAAAGTCACTTAAATCATCTTTCTTCCCCATTCTGATGCTGGGTTTGAACTGCAGCAGATCAACCATGCCTAAATGCATTGAGTTGCTGCCATGTGATTGGCTGATTAGAAATTTGCTTTTCCATCTACTTGTATAACATTTTTTTTCAAAAGCAGTCACAGTATATTGAGTTATTGAATATTGGCATATATCTAAATGGCACACATTCAGTGTTTGTTTGTTTATTTATTTAATTAATTTGTTGAGCAAAAAAACAACAACACTTTATCATAAATTTCTACCATCATTTACAGAAAGCACCCATTCAAATATTATTTAATAACACTTAGTAACATGCCATTGTTTATAAGGAGTAAATAAAAATAATGCATGCCAGGCGTAAAGAAAAAAACAACAGCCAAGCATTGTTTATTCCACCATATCTGTGTGTTGTCATCTGTGTGATCAAAGGCTGCAAACATTCACGGATGCTCAAGGCAGCACATTAGATCAAGAGCCATGGGGTGTACACTTCTCAACAGGCTGATGCTGGTAATTGTTCTTGTTTTATTTAGTACTAGCCTTTAGCAGCTGCATAAATTATTTCAATCCTTTCCAAAATACAAAAATAGGAATATATCCCCCCTGTGTAAAAGTTGACATCCCCCTAATTTTGAATTCATTATGTTTCCTTCTGGCGGTTAAAGGAATAGTTCATGCAAAAATGAAAGTTTTGTCATCCTTTACTCCTTATACACTTTTTCCAAAGCTTTTCAGGACAAACAGACGAAAATAAAGAAATCATAATGCAATACTCTGTATACCTTTGTTTATTAGCTGAAGTAAAAACTGCTTGATTTGATGTGCCATTTATTTCTGAAGCACAGGTACAGTTTAGGCATAATAGACTACAAATTGTTCTTCTTTTCGTCTTTCTGAGGCATGAAAATGGTTCCATCTGTTTATATGGATGTAATTACATTTTAGCATGGCGATGTCTGTGTTTTTCATCCATTTGCTCATGTTCCTTGTTAACTTTCTTTCGTGAACAGAAGTTGAGCTTATTCGCTCAAATTGATTCCTTTAACTTCATTACAGTGATTTGTTGTATATTACATGACATGTCCCTTTATATTTAATCATTAAATATACAAAATAACTATAATATTTTATAAACGCTAGTGTTCAAAAGTTTGATGCATTTTATGTTTGTTTTTGAAGTAGTTTCTTATACTTTTCACAGCTGTATTTATTTGATCAAAATACAATATAAATAGTGTACTGTGTAATATTGTTACATTTCAAAAATAGCTATTTTCTATCTTTCTTCTTTCTATCTGATTTTTTTTTTTTTGCATAAATCTGTTAATCAATGTCAGTCCTCAAAACATTAATGTTAAAAAAATTAATTGGCTTTAATTGCCAAATTCATAAATGATGTCACTAATTTGTTGAAAAAAAAACCCACACAAAATGACGCATTTTCAATCTAAAAAGTAATTGTAAATATTTATTTTTATTATTTATTTATTTTTTTTTGCATTTTATCACAGTCTTGGACATGTGAATTTTTGATGCATTGTTAGTTTTTGTGCAGCATAAGATTTATTTTTTTCTTCCTAATTTACTGTTGGTGGTTGTTTTTGCCCTATTGACTTTAATTATAATCACATTTTTTTATTACAATACCATGACATCATATAACCATGGCTTTTTTTTTTAGATTATTGGTGGTTTTCCCTGTTGGGAAGAGGTAGAGATTTTACTGTTGATACAGTTGGCACCATTAAACCTTTAGATATGCGTGTGCAAAAAAAAAAAAGCTTATATGGATTATAATATCGAGTGTGTAGAACAGTAAATAACTACATTGACTTAACAAAGACTGTGTATTTATACATAATATAATATATTTATTCATAAATTTCAAACCATTTTCCAAAGTATGTGTCAAAATAAGATTTGTCACCAAAAATCATTCTGCTTTCCTAGTACGGAAAAAGTTATGGCAAAATTAAGACATAAAATCAGCCCGGAGTGGATGAAAACATCACCAAGAGTACATAAGGGTTAAAATACAATTTATACTTGTGAAGGGAAAACTTTTGCAGATATTTTTTGTTTTTTAGTATTGTAAAATCATTCATATATGCTTATATAATCAGTATTTAACAGTGGTACTGTTATGTTTATGAAAATCATTCAATTTTTTTCAGGATTCTTTGAATACAAAGTTCAAAAGACCAGCATTTACTTGAATAGGAATACTATTGTAACAATGTAAAACTCATTTCAATCAGTTTAATGCATCTTTATCTATATCTACTATAAATATCTAAATATAGATAAGCAACTCTGTCCAACTACTTGTTAACGCAAATTTCTATTCAGCCAATCACGTGGCAGCAACTCAGTGCATTTAGGCATGTAGACATGGTCAAGACGATCCGCTGCTATTCAAAGCAACATCAGATTGGGGAAGAAAGTTGATTTAAGTGACTTTGGTGGCGTGGTTATTGGTGCCAGACGGGCTGGTCTGAGTATTTCAGAAACTGCTGATCTACTGAGATTTTCATGCACAACCATTTCCAGGGTTAACGGAGAATGGTCCAAAAAGAGAAAATAGTGAGCGCCAGTTCTGTGGGCACAAAACCCTTGTTGATGCCAGAGGTCAAAGGAGAATGGCCAGACTGGTTCCAGCTGATAAAAAGGCAACAGTAACTTAAATAACCACTCGTTACAATCGAGGTCTGCAGAAGAGAATATCTAAAAGCACAACATCAAACTTAAGGCAGATGGGCTACAGCAGAAGAGACCACACCGGGTGCCTCTCCTGTCAGAATGAGAAAAGG